TATTAGTATATAGGCAAAAAGAAATACGTCCAGATTATTTAATGTATTATAGGTATATACTAACATGTGAACCTCTTGGTCATATTGAACTCGGTATGTTTATAAAACAATATGTATATTACGATTTTAGTAAACACAACTGTTATGACTACTCATTCGAAAATTAGAAGTGAGTTAGTTGGCTGTAGTCTTTTGTCCAGAGAAAAAGTATATTAATTAAAGTGAATATTCATTAATAGAATCTTTCTTTTAATCAAAAGATCCCAATAACCCTAATAGGTTATGGGCCCAGGCGTTATCAAATAAGACAGAAATTTGTGAACTTTAAAGAGACCCCGGAGTTTTTATTGTTTTTGTGTTTAGTGTGTAAATCTGTGTGTTAAGTGTAAATCTGTGTGTTAAAAAGATGGAAACTAAAAATAAACGCAATATTCAACCATTTAGTGGAGAACGGTATAATATTTGGAAATTTCGTTTACGTGCTCTACTCGCAGAAGAAAACGCAGTAAAAGTGTTGGACTTAGACCCTCCTGAAGTACCCGACGAACAGTGGCAAAAACTTGAACGTATAGCAAAGGGCACTATTATCGAATATCTTAGCGATACTATGATTGGCTTTGTGACAGAAGAAGCAACTGCTAAGGAAATTATAAAAAGGCTAGACGAAGTTTATGAAAGAAAAAGTTTAGCGACCCAGTTAACAATTCAAAAGAAACTATTAAGTTTAAAATTTACCGAAAATGTACCGTTAGTGAAACATTTTCTGATGTTCGACAATATGCTGATTGATTTACAAGCTGCAGGAGGAAGTTTAACAGAAATGGCAAAAATTGTACATTTACTTCTAACATTGCCGTCATCCTACGATGGTATAGTAACTGCTATTCACACCCTTGCGGACGAATCATTGAATCTTGCATTTGTAAAAACAAAACTACTCGACCATGAAACAAAGTTACTTAATGAACGAAGTGACACGAGCAGCAAAGCTTTACAAGCTGAAGTATCTCAACCTGTAAAATTTAAAAGGGACCAATACAACAAAATAAATACAAGGTTCAACAATTTACGACAATTTTCTTCAAAACATTATTCAAAGAAGCCTTACAATAAATTAAACAATTATAACCAATTAAAATGCAGTTTCTGTGGACGGAAGGGCCATATAAAGAAACACTGCTATTTTCATAAGAAGATTCTTCATAAAAAGGAACAGCAATCAGATCGTATTCGAACCTTACAAAATGTAAATTGTGAAACAGAAAACCATGCTGACGGTTTTGCTTTTATGTTAGGAGCAAACAGTTTAATACCTAAACCAACCACTTCTAGCGTGAAAGAAATATCTTTTATATTAGACTCAGGAGCGACAGACCATATAGTAAATCAAGCGGACATTTTTACGGAAGTACAGCGATTGGAAACACCTTTAAAAATTTCCGTAGCCAAAACTGGAGTAACAATCACAGCCACTCTACGAGGAAAAATCAACATCACATCTAACCTTGGATTTCATGGAGTCCTTGAAAACGTTCTATATTCTGCCGACATCCAGTACAATCTACTGTCCGTCAGACGCATTCAGGAAGCTGGTATGACAATTATATTCAGCAAAGAAGGTGGGGTGAGCATTAAAAGAGATCATAAAANAAAAAACTAGAACAATTTGATTTTCATACATATTGTTATCATCTACATTATCATAATGATTCTTAAATCAATGTTAATTTTTTCAAGGGCTTCTTGGAACTTAGGGTCTCGCGGATTCACCGCAAAACCTAACTTTCGACAAACTTCATCAATTAATCGAGATTTCTTTTCTCGAGCAACACGTAATGCTTCTGCTTTCTTGGCTATTTTATCTTGCAACTCTTTCTCCCAGACGAAACGTTTCTTGAGATTTTCTCCTATTTCTTTATCCCTGGAAAACATTTAGATTATTATTGTCAATTTTTAGTAACGTTTTTTACATCGAGAATTAATTATATCTAATGGTTGTACGAAAGTTTTGAAAAATACTAAGTACCTTAGTCGAATAGTTTCTTCTTCATTTTGTCTTTTTTCTTCTAAAATTTTCCAACCTTCTTGGAGGGTATGTGGATTGTAAGCTCTTTCGTATTCCATTTTATCTTCGATACCTTCTTCCGTAAGCCAGAGTGCTCCAGCCGGTATATCCAATGATTTTATACCATATCTACTTAGCAATTTTCTTTTGTATTTTATAGTATCATGAAAGTCTTCTATACTTTGATTATAAAGTCGTCTATTAAATAGAATATTATGATGCTGAGGATTCAGTTGAGATTTATTTCTTTTCTTTAAAATTTCTTGTTGTTGTTCATCAAATATTGTGTCTATATATTTTGGAGTTTCTTCTATTGAGATTGAATCAAGCTCTTCATCTTTCCATTTAGTTTTTGCATAATGTCATGTGAATGTTAGAGCAAAAACCTTCTCATAATAGATACATGAACGTAATAAATATTTACTGTATTTAGTGAAAACGTTCATTGTTGCTTAAAAAGTAAAAAAATTTTTTATTTCATGTGTATTCAAACAATCTACTGACTAGTTTATTTCACGTGTATTCAAACAATCTACTGACGAGTGCTCCATTTGTTTTCAACTGAATCCATTCGTCATACCAACATTGGGTTTGGTTGATGTTGACAATATATTCTCATAGATGGTGTTCAATGTAACTTTTTATTCTTGAAATCTTTCAAAAATTTCGGAATTGAATTATTTTTAATAAATAAATATCGATAACACCGGTTTAAGTATTACGTGATTATTATTATTATAATTCAAATAAATATAAATATCTTATTTTTTTAGGATTACATTCATCAAATATTGCATATTATGAATTTTTAAACAATGCCTCTTGTTTTAGGATTACATTCATCACATATTGCATATTATGAATTTTTAAACAATGCCTCTTGTGGTAATTTATGTAATTAAAAATGATGGATTCTGAACGACCAATCAAATTGGAATACGCGTTGCCATAGTAACATAATAAAGGTTTGAGACGATTGAAATTGAAAAGTTTTGTGATAAAAAGTGGTGAATAAAGTTTGTTTAATTAAAAATAATGATGTTTTTGTAAACCCTTGTAGATACAAGGCCCGTTTAGTAGCACGAGGTTTTAGCCAAAAATATCAATTAGACTATGATGAGACTTTTGCGCCTGTTGCGCGTATTGCTACTTTTCGATTTCTTATATGTTTTGCAAATCAACATAAATTATTAATACACCAAATGGACGTGAAAACAGCCTTTCTAAATGGTATATTAAAAGAAGAAATATTTATGCGTGTACCCGAAGGAGTTAAAGCCGAAGAAAATCAAGTTTGTAAACTAAACAAATCATTATATGGTTTAAAGCAATCGGCTCGTTGTTGGTTTGAACATTTTGATGAAGTGTTAAAACAACACAATTTTAAAAACTCCTCCGGAGACCGTTGTTTATATTTCTTAAATAAGGGTCCTGTTACAGAAAATATTTATGTCCTGTTGTACGTAGACGATATCGTTATAGTCACAGGAAACAAAAACACAATGAAAACATTTAAAAATTACTTAATGAACCAGTTTCATATGGAAGATTTACAAAATTTAAAATTCTTTCTTGGTATCAGAATTACGCGAAATGAGAATCAAATTACCCTAGATCAGAACACTTATATACGACAGGTTTTAAATAAATTCAAAATGAGTGATTGTAACGCTGTGAGTACACCCTTACCTACTAAATTAGATTACATAAGTTTAAATTCAGAAGAGTCGTATGAAGCTCCTAGTAGAAATTTGATTGGGTGTTTAATGTATATCATGCTTTGTACAAGACCCGATTTATGTGTAGCAATTAATATTGTAAGCAGATACCAAAATAAAAATAACATTGCATTATGGCAATATCTTAAACGAATATTAAGATACCTAAAGGGTACCGCAAATCTAAAACTGGTTTACAAACGAAGTATTTATAATCACATTTTAGTCGGTTTTGTGGATTCTGACTGGGGTAGTAACGAAACTGATCGGCGAAGTACGACAGGATATATTTTTAAACTGTACGAAAATTGTAGTATCTGTTGGAATACAAAACGCCAAAATTCAGTTGCTGCCTCATCGACGGAGGCTGAATATATGGCATTATTTGAAGGTGTTAGAGAAGCTCTATGGCTTAAATCGCTTTTAGGTGATATAAACATTTTTTTGTCAAAACCTATAGTCATATACGAAGACAATAATGGGTGTATATCTATAGCAAATAATCCAACAGACCACAAGCGCACGAAGCACATTGATATCAAATATCATTTTTCTCGTGAGCAAATACAGCAAAAGAAAATAATACTTCTTTATGTTCCAACAGGTGAACAATTGGCAGATATGTTTACAAAACAACTTCCAACTCCCAGATTTGCCGAATTTAGAATAAAATTGGGTTTGGAAGAAGTTTCAGAATAACGAACAGATAGCTGGCCTGATTGGGTTTTTCTATGGGGTTTTTCCCAATCCACAGCAACAAATGTTGGGCCCTGATCTTTCCCCTTACATCATACTCTGGACCATTCGATGACCAAAGATGACCGTCTTCTTTTTGAGCGGGCGTATTAGTATATAGGCAAAAAGAAATACGTCCAGATTATTTAATGTATTATACGAGGGTGGATTGATAAGTTTCCGGCCTAACCAAGAGATGACGCCACTAGGCCTACCTTGAGGTGACATTCTATAGTACCATCCTTGGATAGCTTGTAGCTATAGTTTCAGCCCGATCTCCTTGCTAGTGTAGGTTTGACAGCACGCTGAACAAGACGCCTCTGTGGTTTTCGTAAAAATGGAAAAGCAGGAAAATCGT